CTGCACTGCCCTGCCCTCACTATTCGTCTCTCACCCCTAGTTGCTAATCGAACCAGGCATGCATTCATCCCACCTGTGCCAGCAGCATCAAACGCCGAGCCTGCACTGCCCTGCCCTCACTATTCGTCTCTCACCCCTAGTTGCTAATCGAACCAGGCATGCATTCATCCCACCTGTGCCAGCAGCATCAAACGCCGAGCCTGCACTGCCCTGCCCTCACTATTCGTCTCTCACCCCTAGTTGCTAATCGAACCAGGCATGCATTCATCCCACCTGTGCCAGCAGCATCAAACGCCGAGCCTGCACTGCCCTGCCCTCACTATTCGTCTCTCACCCCTAGTTGCTAATCGAACCAGGCATGCATTCATCCCACCTGTGCCAGCAGCATCAAACGCCGAGCCTGCACTGCCCTGCCCTCACTATTCGTCTCTCACCCCTAGTTGCTAATCGAACCAGGCATGCATTCATCCCACCTGTGCCAGCAGCATCAAACGCCGAGCCTGCACTGCCCTGCCCTCACTATTCGTCTCTCACCCCTAGTTGCTAATCGAACCAGGCATGCATTCATCCCACCTGTGCCAGCAGCATCAAACGCCGAGCCTGCACTGCCCTGCCCTCACTATTCGTCTCTCACCCCTAGTTGCTAATCGAACCAGGCATGCATTCATCCCACCTGTGCCAGCAGCATCAAACGCCGAGCCTGCACTGCCCTGCCCTCACTATTCGTCTCTCACCCCTAGTTGCTAATCGAACCAGGCATGCATTCATCCCACCTGTGCCAGCAGCATCAAACGCCGAGCCTGCACTGCCCTGCCCTCACTATTCGTCTCTCACCCCTAGTTGCTAATCGAACCAGGCATGCATTCATCCCACCTGTGCCAGCAGCATCAAACGCCGAGCCTGCACTGCCCTGCCCTCACTATTCGTCTCTCACCCCTAGTTGCTAATCGAACCAGGCATGCATTCATCCCACCTGTGCCAGCAGCATCAAACGCCGAGCCTGCACTGCCCTGCCCTCACTATTCGTCTCTCACCCCTAGTTGCTAATCGAACCAGGCATGCATTCATCCCACCTGTGCCAGCAGCATCATACGCCGAGCCTGCACTGCCCTGCCCTCACTATTCGTCTCTCACCCCTAGTTGCTAATCGAACCAGGCATGCATTCATCCCACCTGTGCCAGCAGCATCAAACGCCGAGCCTGCACTGCCCTGCCCTCACTATTCGTCTCTCACCCCTAGTTGCTAATCGAACCAGGCATGCATTCATCCCACCTGTGCCAGCAGCATCATACGCCGAGCCTGCACTGCCCTGCCCTCACTATTCGTCTCTCACCCCTAGTTGCTAATCGAACCAGGCATGCATTCATCCCACCTGTGCCAGCAGCATCATACGCCGAGCCTGCACTGCCCTGCCCTCACTATTCGTCTCTCACCCCTAGTTGCTAATCGAACCAGGCATGCATTCATCCCACCTGTGCCAGCAGCATCATACGCCGAGCCTGCACTGCCCTGCCCTCACTATTCGTCTCTCACCCCTAGTTGCTAATCGAACCAGGCATGCATTCATCCCACCTGTGCCAGCAGCATCATACGCCGAGCCTGCACTGCCCTGCCCTCACTATTCGTCTCTCACCCCTAGTTGCTAATCGAACCAGGCATGCATTCATCCCACCTGTGCCAGCAGCATCAAACGCCGAGCCTGCACTGCCCTGCCCTCACTATTCGTCTCTCACCCCTAGTTGCTAATCGAACCAGGCATGCATTCATCCCACCTGTGCCAGCAGCATCAAACGCCGAGCCTGCACTGCCCTGCCCTCACTATTCGTCTCTCACCCCTAGTTGCTAATCGAACCAGGCATGCATTCATCCCACCTGTGCCAGCAGCATCATACGCCGAGCCTGCACTGCCCTGCCCTCACTATTCGTCTCTCACCCCTAGTTGCTAATCGAACCAGGCATGCCTTCATCCCACCTGTGCCAGCAGCATCATACGCCGAGCCTGCACTGCCCTGCCCTCACTATTCGTCTCTCACCCCTAGTTGCTAATCGAACCAGGCATGCATTCATCCCACCTGTGCCAGCAGCATCATACGCCGAGCCTGCACTGCCCTGCCCTCACTATTCGTCTCTCACCCCTAGTTGCTAATCGAACCAGGCATGCATTCATCCCACCTGTGCCAGCAGCATCATACGCCGAGCCTGCACTGCCCTGCCCTCACTATTCGTCTCTCACCCCTAGTTGCTAATCGGACCAGGCATGCATTCATCCCACCTGTGCCAGCAGCATCATACGCCGAGCCTGCACTGCCCTGCCCTCACTATTCGTCTCTCACCCCTAGTTGCTAATCGAACCAGGCATGCATTCATCCCACCTGTGCCAGCAGCATCATACGCCGAGCCTGCACTGCCCTGCCCTCACTATTCGTCTCTCACCCCTAGTTGCTAATCGAACCAGGCATGCATTCATCCCACCTGTGCCAGCAGCATCATACGCCGAGCCTGCACTGCCCTGCCCTCACTATTCGTCTCTCACCCCTAGTTGCTAATCGAACCAGGCATGCCTTCATCCCACCTGTGCCAGCAGCATCATACGCCGAGCCTGCACTGCCCTGCCCTCACTATTCGTCTCTCACCCCTAGTTGCTAATCGAACCAGGCATGCATTCATCCCACCTGTGCCAGCAGCATCATACGCCGAGCCTGCACTGCCCTGCCCTCACTATTCGTCTCTCACCCCTAGTTGCTAATCGGACCAGGCATGCATTCATCCCACCTGTGCCAGCAGCATCATACGCCGAGCCTGCACTGCCCTGCCCTCACTATTCGTCTCTCACCCCTAGTTGCTAATCGAACCAGGCATGCATTCATCCCACCTGTGCCAGCAGCATCATACGCCGAGCCTGCACTGCCCTGCCCTCACTATTCGTCTCTCACCCCTAGTTGCTAATCGAACCAGGCATGCCTTCATCCCACCTGTGCCAGCAGCATCATACGCCGAGCCTGCACTGCCCTGCCCTCACTATTCGTCTCTCACCCCTAGTTGCTAATCGAACCAGGCATGCATTCATCCCACCTGTGCCAGCAGCATCATACGCCGAGCCTGCACTGCCCTGCCCTCACTATTCGTCTCTCACCCCTAGTTGCTAATCGAACCAGGCATGCATTCATCCCACCTGTGCCAGCAGCATCATACGCCGAGCCTGCACTGCCCTGCCCTCACTATTCGTCTCTCACCCCTAGTTGCTAATCGAACCAGGCATGCATTCATCCCACCTGTGCCAGCAGCATCAAACGCCGAGCCTGCACTGCCCTGCCCTCACTATTCGTCTCTCACCCCTAGTTGCTAATCGAACCAGGCATGCATTCATCCCACCTGTGCCAGCAGCATCAAACGCCGAGCCTGCACTGCCCTGCCCTCACTATTCGTCTCTCACCCCTAGTTGCTAATCGAACCAGGCATGCATTCATCCCACCTGTGCCAGCAGCATCATACGCCGAGCCTGCACTGCCCTGCCCTCACTATTCGTCTCTCACCCCTAGTTGCTAATCGAACCAGGCATGCATTCATCCCACCTGTGCCAGCAGCATCATACGCCGAGCCTGCACTGCCCTGCCCTCACTATTCGTCTCTCACCCCTAGTTGCTAATCGAACCAGGCATGCATTCATCCCACCTGTGCCAGCAGCATCAAACGCCGAGCCTGCACTGCCCTGCCCTCACTATTCGTCTCTCACCCCTAGTTGCTAATCGAACCAGGCATGCCTTCATCCCACCTGTGCCAGCAGCATCATACGCCGAGCCTGCACTGCCCTGCCCTCACTATTCGTCTCTCACCCCTAGTTGCTAATCGAACCAGGCATGCATTCATCCCACCTGTGCCAGCAGCATCATACGCCGAGCCTGCACTGCCCTGCCCTCACTATTCGTCTCTCACCCCTAGTTGCTAATCGAACCAGGCATGCATTCATCCCACCTGTGCCAGCAGCATCATACGCCGAGCCTGCACTGCCCTGCCCTCACTATTCGTCTCTCACCCCTAGTTGCTAATCGAACCAGGCATGCATTCATCCCACCTGTGCCAGCAGCATCATACGCCGAGCCTGCACTGCCCTGCCCTCACTATTCGTCTCTCACCCCTAGTTGCTAATCGAACCAGGCATGCATTCATCCCACCTGTGCCAGCAGCATCATACGCCGAGCCTGCACTGCCCTGCCCTCACTATTCGTCTCTCACCCCTAGTTGCTAATCGAACCAGGCATGCATTCATCCCACCTGTGCCAGCAGCATCATACGCCGAGCCTGCACTGCCCTGCCCTCACTATTCGTCTCTCACCCCTAGTTGCTAATCGAACCAGGCATGCATTCATCCCACCTGTGCCAGCAGCATCAAACGCCGAGCCTGCACTGCCCTGCCCTCACTATTCGTCTCTCACCCCTAGTTGCTAATCGAACCAGGCATGCATTCATCCCACCTGTGCCAGCAGCATCATACGCCGAGCCTGCACTGCCCTGCCCTCACTATTCGTCTCTCACCCCTAGTTGCTAATCGAACCAGGCATGCATTCATCCCACCTGTGCCAGCAGCATCATACGCCGAGCCTGCACTGCCCTGCCCTCACTATTCGTCTCTCACCCCTAGTTGCTAATCGAACCAGGCATGCATTCATCCCACCTGTGCCAGCAGCATCATACGCCGAGCCTGCACTGCCCTGCCCTCACTATTCGTCTCTCACCCCTAGTTGCTAATCGAACCAGGCATGCATTCATCCCACCTGTGCCAGCAGCATCATACGCCGAGCCTGCACTGCCCTGCCCTCACTATTCGTCTCTCACCCCTAGTTGCTAATCGAACCAGGCATGCATTCATCCCACCTGTGCCAGCAGCATCATACGCCGAGCCTGCACTGCCCTGCCCTCACTATTCGTCTCTCACCCCTAGTTGCTAATCGAACCAGGCATGCATTCATCCCACCTGTGCCAGCAGCATCATACGCCGAGCCATTGCTGTTGTTCCTCGACTGCCCGCACTGCCCTGGCCAAACCAGCGAGCATGAACACACAAAAACGTAGAAGCATGTGCACAGTTTAGTTTTGAGGCGCCACAAATGATGATCTGGCATGCTTTTTGCGCGGTGTGGTTCTTCTGGTGGTGAGTGCTGACATGCCAGCAAGCCCAAGCGCATGTGTGCGTGCATCATTGAGCATGGAAAGATAGCAAATGCTCTGCCATGGATTGTGCAGGGTGTGAATCTGGTTAGTGTTGATATGCCAGCAATCCCAAGCGCATGTATGAATGGGTAACGTTGCTGAGCGCACACCTCAACCCTAAACCCAGACGACGAAAGACCTTATGGCTTCGAAAGACTCAAAACTCCCACACAATTCTCAACAAACGGAACCCCATACCTCCAGGATTTTCACAGAGCCTCGCAGCAGTGCCTGTGCTTCCTCCCGTCGCCCCAACCGACGAAAGACCTTACGGTTGCATACAGACGGGATTGGAAACGGTGGATAACGATGGAGTCAGATGGGACTGTATTGTGGATATTGAGAAACATCTCAAAAATCAGAGTCAACTCAAAAGGTGAGATGGTCATGAGCCACGTTGGGAGGCCCCGTGAAGTGAGGGTGTTTGAAGTGAGGGTGTTTTTGAAACGTCTCACCAATCCCCTCACTCACTCACCAATCCCCTCACTCACTCACCAATCCCCTCACTCACTCACCAATCCCCTCACTCACTCACCTACCCCTCACTCACCTCTGCGAGGTGGAACATGGTGTTGGCGTAGTCTGGGTGGGACTCGCCCAGCTCCTTGGCCTTTAGCTGCAGGTGGGAGGAGAGAGAGACAGGGAGGGCAAAGGACGGAAGGGATGGGGCGCGGGCAGAAGAGAGAAGAGGACGCACGCAGGCAGAGGATGGATATGATGAGGACGGAATAAGAGAATGGGAATCAAGAGAATGGGAATCAAGAGGGTGGGAATCAGAAAATGGGAATCAAGAGGGTGGGAATCAGAAAATGGGAATCAAGAGGATGGGAATCAGGAAAATGGGAATCAAGAGGAGAGGCAATAGCGGCATACCAAACAAGTGGCAACACTGAAATGCCTCTATAGAAGCACACAACCTGCTGCAACCTGCTGCGACCTGCTGCAAACAGTGAACCCGAGATGCAAAAGCCGTACCAGGTGCAACATACCTTGAGAGCCTCCTGTGGTGTGAAGCACAGGAGCAGGTGTTGTTTGTTGAGGTGATAAGCGCCGCGGGACATGTTGATTGAACATGGATTTGTCAAGTCAAACCATGGGCCATGATCGCCATCCACAGGGTTGCCATCGCATGCCATGCCACGTATGATCGTCAACAACACATGCAACAAAGGAGAGCTTACGCGAACACAGCATGGAAATCATGAAAACACAAGACTACGAAAAGAGGGCTATGAAAAAGAGGGCTATGGAAAGAGGGCTATGAAAAAGAGGGCTATGAAAAAGAGGGCTATGAAAAAGAGGGCTACAGAGGGCTATGGAAAGGCGAATTCAGCATTGCATATTTTATAATGGAAACAATGGCACACTATGCCAGAATCTACTCTGTTTTGCAACCAACCTCATAGCACACACGAGCTTTCTCCAACTGAGCTTTTGAGGCGCCTCAAAAGTCATCTTTTGAGGCGCCTCGAAATACGAGCTTTCTCCAACTGAGCTTTTGAGGCGTCTCAAAAACCAACCTCATAGCACACACGAGCTTTCTCCAGCTGAGCCTGCCCCAGTTCAGCCTTCCCGAGTTGAGAATGCACCAGTTGACCCTGCCCCAGCTGAGCCTGCTGCAGGTACAGCCCTCCCAGGTTGTGCAGGGTGGCTGCTAGCGGCAGAGGCATTTCCAGCGCTCTCAGCCGCTCTGCAGCCTCTTGGAACAGACGCTCTGCTGCCTCCCACTCCCCCATTACTCGGTACAGCTCTGCCTGGTGTGCGGGGTGGAAGGAGAGAGATAGAGAGAGAGAGAGCAGGGAAAGAGAGAAAGGAGGGGGATCAGCATACTCTCCTCTCACTCCCCTCTCACTCCACGTAAATGCCACGTGGCGAAGCGCAATTCACCCACCCCCTTTATCGAAATCCCCCTACTTTTTCCCCTTCCCCATCCCCTCATTCCTTCAGCCCACCAGGTTATTGCAGCTGGACGCCACATGCAGATCAGACGGCCCAAAAGTGCAACCCACCCCATCCCCCTCACCTCACCAACCCCACCCTCCTACTTCCCCCCGCACCCCATCCCCTCATTCCTTCAGCCCACCAGGTTATTGCAGGAGGACGCCACGTGCGGATCAGACGGCCCAAATCCCGCCTTCGCCTCCTCTATAGCCCTCTGCAGGTACCGCTCTGCATCTTGTAATCGACCCTGCAGGAGGAAGAGAGATGGAGAGGGGTGGAAAGTGGTATTGCTCTTCTTCTCCCAAAGCCCGCCTTCACCTCCTCTATAGCCCTCTGCAGGTACCGCTCTGCATCCCGCCCGTAGCCGACCCTGGGGTTGCAGAGAGATGGAGAGGGGTGGAAAGAGGTACTGCTCTGCTTCTTCCAAAGCCCGCCGTTGCCTCCTCTATAGCCCTCTGCAGGTACCTCTCTGCATCCCGTAGGCGACCCTGGGGGTGCAGAGAGATGGAGAGGGGTGGAAAGAGGTATTGCTCTGCTTCTTCCAAAGCCCGCCTTCGCCTCCTCTATAGCCCTCTGCAGGTACCGCTCTGCATCCCGTAGCCGACCCTGGGGGTGCAGAGAGATGGAAAGGGGTGGAAAGAGGTATTGCTCTGCTTCTTCCAAAGCCCGCCTTCGCCTCCTCCATAGCCCTCTGCAGGTACCACTCTGCATCCCGTAGGCGACCCTGAGGTCAGGAGGAGGGGACCGAGAGGTGAAGGGGACGATTCAGCCAGATTCATGCACTGCAGGCAGTACAGCCTCCATCCAGATAATACATGCAGATTCATGATGCTGCACGGTGTTCAGGCACTGCACCAGTGCACTGCAGCTTCATGCACTGCAGGCAGTACAGCCTCCATCCAGATAATACATGCAGATTCACCCAAAGCCCGCCTCTACCTCCTCTAAAGCCTTCTCCAGGCACCGTTCTGCACCCCTACTCTGGTGATGACCTCGGGCAAATCGCTCACCTGTGAGAAGAGCTCCCTGCCTCGGTCTGTGAACACTCGCCAGCGCGCCGTGTGCTTGCTCCCCACTGCCGCCCCCTCACCTCCCTCTCCCCTTCCTGCACCACCCCAGTCCACTGCCGGCGTTGCCCCACCTGCGGATCCCTCTCGCCCTGAACCCACGCCAGCGCTGCTGCTGTCCCCCTCTGGTGCTTCTACTGAGTGCACTGCCGACAATCCCAAGGCTGCTGCAGCTGCTGCTGATGCTACTGCTGCTGTCAGCCTGGGATCTGCAGCAGGTTCGGCAGGACCGTTAGCGTGGGTACGGAAGCTGTGCGACGCTCCCGATCCAGTTAGAGTGGTGGCTGCTGCTGCTGTTTCTGCTGCTGTATTGGGTGCTGCCGATGGTAAAGGAGGAGGAAGAATAGGAGGAACGGACGGAGTGAGGACTGAGGGGACACATGTCCGTACGAGTCTTAAGTGACTCCCACATGCAGCTGACTCGTTACCTCGCCATCCTACAATCTGTTCCGTGCCTCTCAGGTCGCCACGTGTAAGCTTCCGTAGCGGATCTAAGCCCCGTCGCCACATGTGCTAGTCAATGGGTTGATCGCCACGTGTCCGAGGAAGGTCGCTCTTAGTCTGGTGTGCGAGACGGCGATCAAAATGCGCTCCGATGCTTCGGTGGCGTTTGAGTCGACTCGAAAGAGACGGCGATCACAATGCGCTCAGATGCTTCGACCTTCTCATGCGTAGCCGCTGTTAGACGTCGAGACCCTAATCGCTGGTCAATGAAACCCTTATCAAGTCCCTGAAAGGTATATAACTACGCGAATGGGTATTCAGTTGCTCAGGGAGATCTTCACAAACGCCTTAGCTGTAGTTGCTACTTCTGGACTTCCAAGGACTGATGTTGGGGATCCTCGTCACAAGCATAAGCGGTTTCGACAAGTTCCAAGCATCAAACACTCAGAATTAGCAAATTATACATGTTAGGAGACCTACCAGAACAAAAAGTCTCATTCCAAGATGGCTTGCTTTCATGGGTGACGGTGTAACAATGATGAAAGATCTAACATCAAACTACAGATGTGTTTGCTTTCAACGTTTTTAGCAACTTGTGGACCAGAAATCTAAAAACAAACAGTTAATGACGATATTCAACATTCCTCACCATGGGCTGATTTTATCAGGGTAATTACCCTGATTTCAGGGTGATTTCAGGCTTGTCACTTTCTGGACCCTGAGAAATCAGGTTTTTCACATTTTGGTCCCTGATCCATTCAGAGTATTGCTTTAGCGGACCCTGAAATTTTGTGTACACTCTCAGTGTAGGGGTTTCACAGACCCTGTCACAAAGAGTACGAGGCCTGTGGACCCTGAATGCGATGTTATCAGGACGAAGGCTCTCAGAAATTTCCTCCTGATAACCTCGCCTTCGGATTGATTTCAGTGCCCCCCACGTGCATAATCCCCCCCCCCCCCCCCCCCCCCCCCCCCTCACCCTTCGCTTAATCGAGACGAAGTTTCTTTGAAGTTTCGTTCCCATACACCCACCATCGAGATCGGGCGAATCTGTAATGTCAGATTTTAGGTTGCTGTTATTGGTCGAAATAGTTGTGCTCTGACACAGCGCCAGTCACATCGCCACAGTGCCAGTCACATTGCAAGTCACATCGCAAGTCACAGCGCGCCAGTCACAGCGCCAATCACAGTCACCCTTGCGACACCAACAGCAGATTCGACCTCTGTTCCGTACGGAAATCCCTTTTGCGCTAGGTCAAGGCAGATTCTGCCTGAAATCTCTGTAGACTGTCAGATTTCGAGCAGATGTTGCGATTAGGGTAAAGAATAAGACTTATGATTGAGTGAGACTTCAGTCCCCGGTAAAGAATGAGCGCGTTACTACGACCCTAATTTTCAATTCTCGACCCTGAGCATTCGGAGTTCCCTACTGCTCAACCCTGAGCAATCAGGGTGCTGTTTTTATGGAAAATGTGCCTTCAGGGTTATTTGTTAGGTTGAGCTCAGGGTACCTAGATCTGAAAAATCAGCCGTGCACATGAGCTATGAGTCCACTACAATATACCATTATAAGCTACTAAACATGGCACTCAACAGTATGCGTATTCAAAAACGCGAAGTGCCCTAACAAGATCAGACCAAGTGCTTTGAATGGCTGCGTAAAAAGAGCACTTGTCCTGATGACTTAACATTTCCTTCCAATCCTCCATTCCCCACCCGCCCCTTCTCTCTCTACTGCCCTCCCATAAAGACGTCTTCTCCTCTTTATTCTCCTTCTCCTCCTCCTCCCCCTTCTCCCCTTCTCATCCTCCTCCTCCTCCTCCTCCTCCTCCTCCTCCTCCTCCTCCTCCTCCTCCTCCTCCTCCTCCTCCTCCTCATCCTCCTCCTCCTCCTCCTCCTCCTCCTCCTCCTCCTCCTCCTCCTCCTCCTCCTCCTCCTCCTCCTCCTCCTCCTCCTGCCCCTCCTCCTCCTCCTCCTCCTCCTCCTCCTCCTCCTCCTCCTCCTCCTCCTCCTCCTCCTCCTCCTCCTCCTCCTCCTCCTCCTCCTCTGTCCAATAAAATAATATATGTCTGTTAGAATGCTAGGCTAGAGTGAGGTTCTCATCTCAGTATAGGGTAGTTATTCTCTTTACCCACTACTTGTACCCTACCACTTAATATTCTCAACACTTCCGCTAGCTTACTTTTATCATGGTATCAGCGAGTACGAACAGCGACAGGTCGGTGGACGAAGGACAAAAAACCGAGTTCAGCAAGTGTGGATAGAAGACTGCCGTGCCACTCACGGGTCGCATGGCAAAGACCACAGACTAGCTGTCTCAGGCTTCACTGGGTCCCAGGTGGGAAAGCGCCAGTGAAGCAAAGAGGATGGCGCAGCCAGATCTCTTCGTGCAGGCGGCCCTGGAGAAAGGCATTGGAGAAGTCCAGACTGTGCGCCTCATAGCCTCGCTGTGCTACAACGTGGAGTAACACCCGAATAATGGTCATATTCGGGGTCGGGGAGAAGGTCTCGAAGAGGTTTACTCCCCTACGCGGACTGAAACTTCTAGCGATGTAGCGCGCCTTGAAGAAAGGTGGTAATCGAGGCGGTCATTTCACCTTGAAGATCCACATGACATCGATCACGTTCGCCCTCGAAAGGGAACTGCGTCGACGCAAGTGTTTATGGATCTCGAACACCCCATCTTTTAGTTCATGGTTGTTATCCACTGAGAGACCAACTGCTGACACTGCCTCACAGTGCGTCCAAGGATTCGGTATGTTTAGGGTGTAGGGAAACGACTGCTAATAACTATTGCTCAAAATGCATGCCCTCTAGGACGTTACAACCAAGGGCGGACTCACCCCTGGCGGACAGAGGACAGGCAGTGACCAAACAGGTGTAGTCAAGGCGTGGGTGGTGGCAAAGCCATGAACAATGGCAACAAGAGCCGGGGCAATCGACGGAGGGGCGGTAGGTTCCGTGATAAGAGAAGCGAAAATACGTGAGATGTCATAATGTTATAGCTTATGCTGTTGTGTAGGCTATAGTGGGGTATCCCATAGGGGGTACAACCCAATTAGGGTTTCATATTTGTACTCACTTCATTCATAGTTCATTCATTCTCGTTTCAGTTTTCTCATGAGACAACATGGCGAGCTATGCGGAAATATTCAATGATAGGGTGACAAGAGGCTGTAAAGGACGACGCGAGAGGTGATGGGAGAATGGACTGAGGTGGAGAACTAGAAGGATTAGAACAAAGCAAGACGAAGCGTAGTACGTCAAAAAGAGATGAGGGACGAGCACGAGGATAACAACGAGTGGCCCTAGTGTGCGGGACAACAGGAGGAGACGATTGTGACTATGGAGGAGAGAAAACAACCGGGGACGTCTTCGGAAGAGGAAGACCGTGTGCAGTAGGAGGCACTGAGCAGTCCGGAGGGGAGGAAGGGAGACCAAGTGTACGAAGGCCACTCATAGGAGGGAACAACTTCTGCAAAGGTGACGGTTGTTCCGTCTGCTGCTACCTGCTGCTGCAACTCTGGCTATTGTAGCTCCTGCTGCTGCTGCTCCTTCCGTTGTTGCTCCTGTTGTTGGTGCTCCATCTCCAGCCTCTCTTGCTCCAGCCTCTCCTGCGCCAACTTCTCCTTCTCCTCGCACTTAAGCCGACGAAGAGCCTGGTGACGCGTCGGGTAGAGGTGGGGAGGCGGAGTAGGTGCAGCAGTAGTAATGCCTCCATCTCCAGCCCCCTTAGAACTAGCATCTCCAGTTCGAGCACCTACAGCTCCACTCCTCCTCCTCCTCCTCCTCCTCCTCCTCCTCCTCCTCCTCCTCCTCCTCCTCCTCCTCCTCCTCCTCCTCCTCTCCTCATCCCCCCTCCTCCTCCTCCTCCTCCTCTTCCTCCTCCTCCTCCTCCTCCTCCTCCTCCTCCTCCTTCTCCTCCTCCTCCTCCTCCTCCTCCTCGTTGTTAGTCTTATTGCTTGGGTTGGCACAAGGAATGTGTTAAAATATGAAGTAAATAAGAAGACATTCCTATACGCTACAAAAGCCAACTCTACCAAGTACGAAGACGAGGAGTCAGATGAATCAAAGCGGCATCAAGCCACCGTCAAATCGAGATTGACGCTGGCAGATACATTGTAAATTGCTGCGATCAGAAGTTGATCGTAACCAGGATCTCCTCAGGAAGGTTCACACACTTCTATTCTAGTGGTGGTGAGCCCTTGACCTCAATAGCAGAGTGAATGTAAAATGCTTGAGATGATTGAAACATGCAAATACAGCAAATATAAATATGAGTTCATGGAAGATGAATCGACCTAGCTAGCCATGTACTCTAACGGGTACATTCCCTTATTCAAATTCATTCCCAACCGTGCGGCGCGTACAGTTACGAAACTATTCCCGCCAGAACCCTCCTGTCTGCAGCTGCCAATGCCGTCTGCTTCCGACGGTCCAGATGCATCCCAACCGTCTGACGTTTCGAGTCAATTCTGACTCTTCACATTCGTTTTCGATACTGCGTGCTTTTTTAGCTGCGGTCGGGAGTGCACTGTAACCTTCATTCATTACTATTCGTAACACCCTCCTTCACTCATGGCCGCAACTCGATTTGACCTGCTTGACCACTCCGCTGAGTTCGGAGCAATGCTGATACTGCTAGCGTGGCAGTCGCTTCGTGAGAAAGTCTGCTGCCATGTCACCAGTCGGGCAGTAGGTCAAGTTAACCTTGCCTTTGTCCACTTCGTCCTTCACGAAGAAATACCGCAGCGCAATGTGCTTGGTGCGGTTGACGAAACCAGGTTTGTTCGCGATGCGAATCGCGCTCTGGTTGTCGCAGTGAAGACGAAAGGCGGACGAAGCTGGAATTTTTGCCCCCTGCAGAAGTTCCTAAAGGTAGAGGCCTTCGCGAACTGTTGCGATAAATTCCGCTTCCGCTGATGACAGGGCAACCAACTCCTGCTTCTGCGAATTCCAGGAGATTGGTCCCGTTGGTTCGAGTCGGAACAGATAGCCAGTCCTGGACCGTCGATTGTCGGGATCTGCTGCGTGATCGGCGTCCACGTAGCTGGTAAGGTTGAAGGATGGGGTTGGTGCAGTTGAGTAGCATGTCGGAGATAGTAGGAAGAAAGTAGAAACAAGAAAGAGAGGTTGCACTAGCAAGTAGGTGGATAGGAAACCCTAAGGGGCCGTACTCACTATAGAGTACCCCATTGCAGGCTAGACAAACTACACATTCTGACACACCCCCATAGTCAAAGTGGGGTGTGATCAGCACAACAAGCAGCAGTTTATAGTTCACAAATATAAGCAAAGCTAGAGGCTATCACAGAGGGCAAGTGTGGAGGAGGAGAGACTGTGGGGGCGAGAAGATGGGAGGCTACGGCTGAAGCTGCAAACACACGGGCGACAGGAGCGGCTGGCGCAGTGGCTACCGGGACAGCGCCCCGGACTACTGGACTAACTGGCTCGGCGGCTACGAGGAGAGGCAGGAGCAACGGACCCACGGGCGACAGGCGCAGCAGGCTCTCTGGACTACCAGCGGCAGAGCCCCGGACTACATGTGCTGCGGACGATCCACTCAACCTCCCCCAACTGTCCCACACCCCTTTCACACACTCTCTGAGTAGGTCCAGCATGATCCACGCCTTGTGCTCGTGGCTGATGCCGAGGTGAATGCCCCAGCGCGCGCGGCTTGCAAATTTGCCGATGTTTGACATCGGCGGGCGGTATTGTACCATGCACCCCCACACGCGGAGCATAGACGTGTCCCCCTTGGTCCCGGTCCACTTTACGTGCGGGGACAAGTTGCCGGTGATGGCGGTGGTTGACAGCATGTTGTACACCCGCACGGCGTGGTGCATCGCGTAGGTCCAGTAGATAGGAGGCAGCTTTAACTGCTTCATTAGCGCCCGCACCTTCGTCATCAACGTGCGGTTCGTCCGCTCAGCTACGCTCTGCGGCTGGTGTGCATAAGGGAGAGAAATATGGTGCTAGATCCCCTTTTGCACGAGGTAACTCTGCATCTGGTTGCTCCTGAACTCCTTTGCGCCGTCAGATTGCCAGATTTTCAGCTTCTCCCCGGACTGCCGCTGCGCATGCGCAAGCCAGAGGCGGAACACCTCATAGGCTCTGTCGCGTGTCTCGACATTCACGATCCACACATAGCGCGTCCCGGCGTCGATGAGGGTGAGCGCGTACATTTCGTCGTTGACTCTGCAGTGCCCCAAGTTCAGAAAATCGCTGTACACTTTGTACAGCTTGGGGTAGCAGTTTGTCCCTGGCTCGAGCGGCGGGAACGGCTGGTGGCTCAGCGCAGCTTCAGGGCAGACGGTGCAGTTGCGCGGATGTGTCGCGCCTCTCACTTCGGTGCCATCAGGGCGTAGCAGCGCTCCTGGGGCGAAGACGCCTGCGTCGATGCAGTTTTTCAGTGTGGCACGCGAAGGGTGTCCGAGGCGCTGGTGCCAAAGTGCATTGTCAACGCGAAAGCTGGAAGTGCGCATGTAGCGCGCGCGAGCTTCTTCGGGATCCTCATCAGGTACAGGGGCAGGTGCCGCTGGTGCTTCCTCTGCTGCTTCGTCTTCGTCGTTGGCGGTAGTCAGCATTAGCGCCAGGAACTCTCTGTCGCGAATCTCAGAGAGGGGGATGTTGGTCCCAGGGATGGTTCCAGGGACAAAGATGGGTTCGCGTGGCTCGGGAGCAGGTCCGTAGACGGTGCGGCGCGGAGTTGACGCTTCGTTGCCCCAGTCAATGGTGTCCCACGGGTCGCGATGCGGCGGAATGTCATGTGGAGGTAACGCGGGTGGGGCACGGTGCGGGGGATGACCAAGGGGAACAACTGCAGGTGTTGCGTCAGCTTCTTCCCCCCCCCCCCCTTTGTTCTTCGTGGGAAGCCCCCTAGCCGCTGTCGTCGTCACCAGTAGTGCCCCCTCCGCCGGTTGCGGTGGCCCAGGTTCCACCGGTGGTTCCCCATCCGCCGGTCTCACTCGTTCCCCATCCGCCAGCACTGCCCCACCCCCCTTCATTGGAGGCGCTCTCCTCTTCTCCAGCTCCCCATGCACCGCAGGCGAATGTCCCGCGTGCTTCGGCAAGGCTTTGTCGGCGAAGCTTTTCAGCTTCGCGGCGCGCGCTCTCTTCCTCCTATTCCATGGTAAGTTTTGTCGTGGGGTCGCGCCAGACGGGGGTAGACTTTCAGGAACTCGTCGTGGG